CAGCACTCAAGCTGACAAACAGCGCAAATGGCACTAACCACACACAGAGTCCAAAATACGACGCCACTTCCGTAAAGTTCGGCATGTCGCTAAGATCAGCCTGGTATGGTTGTCGCCAGCTTGTGGAGCTCCGCGGCAGTGTGATGGGTTGAGAGAAGTGCCGGAACCAGAGCCAGTGGTTAAGACCAACTAGAAAGCACGAAAGGATGAAGAATGGGTCGGAAAGTTTTACGATGGGAAAACGCCGGAGGTTGGTTGCGTAGACAATGTGGGAGCCGATACTGAGAAGTGAAAGAGAGAATGGGAATCTGTCAAAGAGAAAGAGCAGGATTTGGATTGCGACTATGCCGTATATCAAACGGGATAGAAGTCGGCGTGCCAGGACAGTGTGTTCTTCGACAAGCTCAGAGAGATAATAGAGCCCCGATGCTGGAGGTTTGTCAAGAATCAAGAATCAGTTGGTTAAACAGAATATCAAGGTACATCCAAGTCTCCGGTGAGATGCACGCAAGGTGAACTGATCTTACCTATCGCCAGAGTAAGAAAACAAAATCCTACTACCACACCCAAGTACCCTAATAATGGTAGTATCCACATTGCGTATGCACAAAAGCACTAAAGAACTCCTGGTTCCGAGGTGCAATGGTGGCTGCCGGCAAAGTTGGGAATAACTTGGAATTATATGCAGACGCAAACACGGATTCCAAAAAAAAAAATGGATACACAAGGAACTATTAAGATAAATATTATGCCAAGATAGCTGTACAACAGCGGTATGATGGTGTTGGCATCGGTGAAAAGAGGAGAAGTATATTTAAGTAGTTAGGTGGAAAGCCGTCGATCATGTATAGATGGCTTGATCCGTCAGGCGGAGCCATCTCATGGTAAGGCAGGCGGTCTGGCAAAAAAATAATAATCTATATCTCCGATAATGACAGCAACTGATAAGCCTTCATGCTACCTTTATTACACACAACACTGAAAAAAAAAAGATCACAGAATTAAATATAATTTCAGCTACACAATGTCACGCCCGGAAGATGTCCTGTAGGTCTGTCTATTTGAAGGTATTAATTTATCACTAACAAGACTGCTGAAAGGCCCCCGGACCTTTTCTACGACGATAATGAATCTCGAAAATATACCACCTCGTCACGTATTCGCAACATTCAAGCCGACATGACACACAGGGCTCTCGAGCTTCTTGACCTTAACACACCGTCTCTAATTCTCGATATTGGCTGCGGGTCAGGTCTGTCTGGGGAAATACTTTCTCAAGAACCCCGCGAGCAAGGTGGTCCGCACATCTGGATCGGAATGGATATTTCACCTAGTATGCTTGATATTGCACTACAACGAGGTGTAGAGGGTGATCTGTTTCTCGCGGATATCGGACAAGGTGTACCTTTCCGACCTGGAGCATTCGATGCAGCGATCAGCATAAGCGCAATCCAGTGGCTATGTAACGCGGAGACAAGCGACGTCAGCCCCGAGGGCCGTCTTCGAAGATTCTTCGAGGGCCTCTTCGCCAGTCTCAGACGGGGTGGACGTGCTGTATGCCAGTTTTACCCCAAAAATGATTCCCAGCGCGCGATGATCAGCGGTGCCGCTATCAAGGCCGGGTTCGGTGCTGGTATTTTGGAAGATGACCCCGGCACAAAAAATAGCAAGCTCTACCTTGTTTTGACTGTCGGTGGTGGAGGGCTGCAGGGTGATATTACTGGTGTTGTAGATGGGATGAATGATGTCGATGTGATGGACGCGAGGAGAAAGGCTATGGAACATAGTAAGGCACCGGTTTCTAGAAAAGGCGACAAGGCTTGGATCATGCGGAAGAAGGACCAGATGACCAAGAAAGGCAAGGTTGTCAAGGCGAATTCAAGGTATACTGGCCGCAAGAGGCGCCCGGCTTTCTAGTTGTGCCCCCTAAAGCTGGTGGAAGAGCGTTTTTATCGGACATGCTTCAACGGCTGGGATAGGAAACCCTGAATCAAGATTCGTGACGCATGTTCCTTATACACTTTGTGGGATATCCGGAATACGTCTCTTATCCCCCAACATCGGAATTTCCCTCTATGTGCCGTGCTAGAGCCTGTTCGTCGACGGCGTGCTTCTGCTCTCGGGGTTCGGCGGGTATGGTTATCCAAAAATTGCAGGCACTGAAGGGTAGAGGCCTATTGGGACTGAATGTTCGTCAAATTACGCGGACAGCTTGGTTCCAAAGTCCCAGACTCACATGCTTCTAGGATCACTGAAGCCGTAGCAATGGTGTGCCAATAAAAACCTTTATGAGTTACGGAACATGAATAAACCTCTATTTGAACCGCATGTATATATCTTTACACATCGTAATCAACTGATCTGTCTATCACATCAAATTCGCAAGGCGCCTTCAGTGTTATTTAGGGTAAAAGTGATACAGATTGCGACAACGGAGCCTAAAGACCCAAGATGGCCTCTAGGATATTATCTTATCTTGTCGTAGAATAAACGGTAATAAGAGCATCAGCAAGTTTCCTTCAAAGATGATTTACAAAGCAGCCTCCATCTTGTCCAGGACAGCACGGGTGAACTCATGAGTGGTGGCCTGTCCGCCCATGTCCCGAGTCCGTGTTTGACTAACGAGAAGTGTTAGTTACGTGTTAGATGAATAATTCAAACGGGTCAATAGCCACTTACCCTTCACCAATCACATCGTAGACAGCCTTGGAGATGCGGTTGGCGTGGTCGTCGAGGCCAAGGTGACGAAGTAGCATCGAGCCAGAGAGGATCATCGCGCTGGGGTTAGCCTGGTCTTTTCCTTTAATATCAAGGCCAACGTGACGGCAGCCAGGCTCGAAAACAGCAACATCCCGACCCATATTGCATCCGGGAACAACACCAGGACCACCCACAAGGGCAGCACCGATGTTGGAAAGAATGCCGCCATACAAGTTGGGCATGACCATCACATCGAACTGCTGGGGTCGAGAAACAGCCTGCATGGAGGCGTTGTCGACAATCATATCGTTAACATCCAGGGTAGGATAATTCTCTGCGGTTTTATGGAAGGTGCTGCGGAACAAGCCATCCGCCAACTTCATGATGTTCGCCTTGTGGATACATGTGACCTTCTTCCTGTTGTTGGCGAGAGCAAAACTAAACGCGAACTTGGCGATACGCTCAGACTTCGCACGAGTAATGATCTTCAACGACTCAACAACACCTTGCACCGACTGGTGCTCAAGACCAGAGTATTCACCCTCGGTGTTCTCACGGATGATGCAGAGATCAACATTGTCGTGACGGGTCTGGTAACCGGGGATGTTCTTGATGAGCACGACCGAGGCAAAGATGTCAAGCTCCTGTCGAAGAGCGACATTGAAGGATTGGTGGCCGGAGCGCTCGACCGGGGTGAACAGAATACCCTTCAGACCCAACTTGTTTCGTCGAAGAGATGCAATCGATTCCTTGAAGAGTTCTTCGGAGTGCTTGTTGCCGGTATCCACGCCACTGACATCAACTTGCTCCCATTCAATGGGTACATTGTCGGCTTTGAAGATGGTCTTGACCGATTCCGCGACTTCGGTACCAATACCATCACCTGTTGGGCAGAGTAAGAAGGCATTAGTAGGTTTGAATGTATAAAATGGAAAAGAGGAAGGGGGAGCATCAAAGGTTATTTGGATGCGACCCTATTTGATCGTACCTGGGATGAGCGTTACGGTATATTTGCCGCCATACTTCGTGGGCTTGAAGATATCCTGCTGAACTGTCGCAAAAGCTGATATCGGAGGTCAACTACAAATTCTTCCGATAATCGGATATAGCAAGGGAGGACATACATCTTGCCGCAACGGGGGACCGGACGAAGGTAGATTGAGCAGCAGCACGTTGGAAGAGCGACTATGGTAGAATTGGGTGAGTAAAATAAAAGGTAATGAGAGCAAAAAAGGTTGAAGGTTTGTGCGCAGCCTCAAAGGACGGAAGAAAGAATACATGAAGGACGGGAGGGAGAATACAACATCCACAATTAGAGGAGAAGCTTTGATTAACGTACCTGCGCGGGCCGAACTGTCCTTGGGGCAAACATGTTGAATGGACAAAGAACAGTGTGTAATTGAGCGGAGATACACTGGGATGGGGAGGTCGTGGCGGAGGAGGGAGAAGAAAGAATGACGGGTCGGATGGAAGAGGCAGAAAGACGGCCGAAAGCCGCACGAGACGCGCCGGGAAAAACGCCGGATCGTCTCGGCATGAATTGCCAAATAGCATCGCACGGGCCGATCTTATCTAAGGATCGCAAATTTGCAATCAATCTCCATTCCCCAATTCTCCCACCCCTCGTTAGCAACCCAATTGCAGCCTTCTGAGTTCTCATCGGGTTTCAGGTACTGGCAATGGCCAACTGACAATGACTAGCAGTTCACTCGGCCTTCCTATTTAATGTATCAATAGGGCCTTCTTTGTTTCTTGAATAGTTATTGACGTTTTATACGCAGCAAAGCAGTTTTATTGATCACAAGTGACTTGCTCTATTGAGCTACAAATTCAGCCATGGAGCTGCTCTTGATTTCAGCTCAATGAACCACTCATCAGCCCATGTTGCACAGCTTGGTTGACCATGTGGTCATTTGCCTATCCCGACACTCTCGACCCCTCTCACAGATGTTCTTTGGCTGGAAGGATCCGATGCTTCCAGGGGCCTGTCCTCGGAGCTGGTTTCAGGATCTTCTATTGATTTTCAATGATCCTACGGGGCTTCTATTGAATGACACATGTCTGTCGAGCAACTATAGGTGCTGTTTCTATTCAGAGAATAGGCCTCTTTCTACCCTCCTCTCAATAGGAGCACTCGCTTGAATAGCGTGGCAAGCTTCTTTCACTGGTATCATGGTGGACAAACACCCCGTGGGTGTCCTGATACAGTCAAAAGCTCGCATCCCAATTAGCATGTGTCCACCAGCATGTATATAAACCTCTTGGTATCCTTGAACCGTTACATCTGTCTCTCACGGAGCGAGCCTCTTCCTCTTATATCAATTTAAGAATCTACCCACTCTAGGAAGCAAGTCCTTCCTTTCTCACCTAACCTTTCAATCGCCACTTACACATCATAATGAAGCTTATCGCTGTTACCATCGCTGCTCTCTCCGTCGCCACCGTCCAGGGTGCAGCTTCAGACAAATGGTGTAAATTCCCCGGACAAGTATGCGGCAAAACGAAGAGGGCCGTCGACGCTGTTGAAGAAGTGAAACGTTCTGCCGACGCCCTGGCTGAAGCCAAGTTCACTCTCAACAAATGGTGTCAGTTCCCAGGACAAGTTTGCGGCAAGGCCAAGCGTGCCATCGATGCTATCGACGATGTCAAGCGTTCCGCCGACGCCGTTTCGGAAGCAATGGCTTTTTTGGATGAACTCGCCCCAGAGGAGTTCCAGAAAATTGAGTAGAAATTGTTTGTAAGCCCAAACCAAGAACCCTGCACAATATTTATATACATGTCTTAACCAGATGGCTTTTTCTCAAAGGACAATGACCTGGTCCCAACGAGACCAGCTTTTACTTCTCTCTATCTCTCTCTCTCTCTCTTTTTTCATGACGCTCTTTCTCGCCTACCAGCTGCCACTATACACATACGTGTGATTCACTATACTGGGCACTCGGTTTATCATTCGGGGTTCTTCTCTCCTGGGTACTTTATTCTGTAAACGAAATCTCATTAAGGGGGGATAAGATCATAGGAGGGTGAAACGAAGCAGGGCCAAAAAAAAAAAAAAAAAAGAAGAAGAAAAAGAAAAAGATGTTTTTTAAGTCTAAATATAATCACCTGGGGACCTACTGCCAAGTCCTTTACATATAACCAAACTTGAGGCAGCCTGACAATTTATCGGTTTATTTTCGCTTCTGCCAATACAACCATAGCTCCATGTATCTTTTTCAGTCAAGAGACAATCCACAACACTTGGTATGGGTACGGAATGGTTTAATTTTTTAATTTTTCCCCCTCCTTCCTCAGTAATTACAGGTCTTAAACGTACTTCTTTCCCCAAGTAGTGCCCATTATCCGACGGATGTACTTCATATTATTAAGAAGCCTATCCAGGATTACTAGGGAGCCTCGAGTGTCTCAAAAAGAAAAGTGGATCCATTATCTCCAAGAATTTCACAATAAATGTTGGTATGCATGACTAGTATTCTATCGTCACAGGCTGCGTCCTTTCCCACCACCGTTGTGCCCCGCCTTGATATACTGGATCACTGCAAATCCTATATGGGGAACCAGTCGTGGGCTCATTAGCCGGATGCCCAAAATGACGCGGTTCGGATTCGCGAACAAGGTCATAGCCCGCAAGCATATACGGCTCGGCAAAATAGGGCACATCGCCGCCGTTGTTTGGTTCGTGGGTGGAATCGCCCATCTCAAGGTCGTTCGCAAGGGCGGCTTGTGTCGGTTGAATGGGCCATTGGGAGCCTTTGCTAGGCTCTGGACAGATCTGCCACATCTGAATCAAGCGGGCTTGCTGTTCTGGCAGCGCTTTGGCAAAAAGTTCTAATTGACTTGATGATAAAGATGACGGGAGAATGTTGTGATATTTGAGAATCTCGAACAGAGAATGGCTTGCAACCTCATTATCTCTTGGCGATGTGTTTCCCTGTACTGGCCCTGACATGCAGGCTCTGTGTGCTACATGTGCCGAATGGTGGTAGTGTTGTGTGACGCTATATGTAATTGGGGAGGGGGAAGCAGTCCCAGGTATTCCGTCCTCGGTAGTCATAGAGGTAGGTCCCATGTTCATATGGGTACGGAAAAGTGACACGAGATCATCTTGAGCCTTCTGGTTGCTCTCAGATGATGATAAACCGCACTGCAAGTTCAACCAGTTAAATATCATGTTAGCAATAGCATGGTTTAGGTAAATCTACCTTGGTGCAGTGTGGGTTTCCCACAAAATCAGCCAGTATTTCAGAAATATCTGTAATATGTCCACAGAATGGACAACTATGCAGTATAGACGAAGACATCGTGTGAGGCTCCCCGGGGTGGGGGGGTAAGGAGAAGGCTCTGGGACAGCGAAACGGAGGGCATGCGATTGCATTCACGCTAGATCTAGGCTCGACTGTTCAAAAACTTACTATACTACCTTAAGTATGTAGTACTAGTAGACCTGGTTGTGTTGTTGAAGGGCTTTTGCAATAATAGCCGGTATGCTACCTCCTAGCGGTAGAGGGAAACGATAAAATAAGCCGAAAAAGCATGCCAGATTTCGGTATCAGCTATCAGCAATTACGACACGACCATAGTACCAGTGCCGGTATTTAAGGAAAGGAGATATGGTGGAATGGAAAGGGCAATCGATGCCCAGTAGCCCAAGGGTTGGGCATGGAGAGGATCGTCAGAGTGCGGGGCCGGCAATTAACAAACAAAAAGATACAGAGGACGCAGGTGCGGATAACCCATTTGGGGTAATTACCGCTATTTTCTGTTACCTCCTAAAAAGCCCCCCAGCCCAATGCTCGCTGAGTTGAGGGGGGGAAGAAGGATGGGTGCTCTGGAGAAGGCAGCAACATTGATCATGTGACTCACCAAACCGTGACGCGACAGCGCTGGAAACCTACCGGGCGGTAAGCTAGCTAGCTTCAATAGGTCATACGTACATCGCCGATTGAAACGCCTACCTACCGAGTATCTTGGAGCTTCTCAAACCGCTTCTGGCTTCCTTTAAAAGCATTGTCTTTAGGCTTCGCATCTCTTCCTTCACTGTGGTTCAATCTCTGCTATTTCCACCTTCTGTGATAGACCCAATCCTCCGCCATGGTTTGTTTCCCAACTCTCTAGCTGATGGTCCAGCTAATGCTCAAAATCCAGACATCCATCGGCACAGGCTACGATCTTTCCAATTCAGTTTTCTCTCCGGATGGTCGGAATTTTCAGGTATTATACCCTTCCTCGGGTATTAAATGTGAATATGGCGCTCACAATGCCTGATAGGTAGAGTATGCTGTTAAAGCTGTTGAGAACGGCGGCACCGCGGTCGGTATCCGGTGTAAGGATGGTGTCGTTCTAGCTGTTGAGAAAATAATCACTAGCAAACTTCTTAAGCCTGGGGCGAATAAGCGGATATCTACTGTCGACCGCCACGTTGGTATTGTAAGCAACTGCTCCCACTCTTTTAAAGTTCATTGAATACACAACCCCTCATACTAACCCGAACGTTTATCAACGATAGGTTTCGGCTGGACTAGCTCCCGATGGCCGTCATTTTGTTTCTCGTGCGCGCGATGAGGCCTCCTCTTGGCGGGGTATCTACAAAGGTCCTATTACCGTTTCCGCTTTAGCCAACCGTCTTGGTGGCTATGTGCAGGCGTACACCTTGTACTCTAGCGTTCGACCCTTTGGTGTAACCTCGATCGTTGGGGGCTGGGACTCTGAAGCTGAGCTTGCCGTGGATGGCCAAGTGGGAAGCGGACCGCAGTCAGGTTCCGGCGGGAAGGTCAAGGGTGCGAAATCCGGAGGCCCTGGTCTATATATGATCGAACCAAGCGGATTGTACTGGGTATGCCATTCTGTACATGTGCATATATATTTATGTATTACGCAATAGCTGACCTTGTTTCAGGGTTATTACGGGGCTGCCACTGGCAAGGGAAGACAGGCAGCCAAAGCTGAGCTTGAAAAGCTAGATCTAGCATCGGAGAAGCTGAGTCTACAGGAGGCTGTGAAGGAGGCTGCTAGGATTATATATGTTGCCCACGAGGACAACAAGGACAAGGAATTTGAGCTTGAAATGAGCTGGATCAGCTCAGTAGACGGCCCAACAAAAGGCAGACATGAGGAGGTGCCAACAGAACTACTTGAAGAGGCAGAGCGAACCGCTAAGCGAGCCCTAGAAGGCGACGATGAGGAAGAGGAAGATGGAGCGAAAGCGACTGGCAATGAGGGCGAGCGAATGGAAGAGTAAAGCTAACGCGCACGAGCCTATTTGGACATGTCAAATAAAGGAAGAAATTAATGTCATTTGCCTTTTTATGTGTCGTTTTGCGCACGTGTCGACCTTACGGTAAAGCCGCGAAGTTTTGTGCTTGTTCTCCATTTTCATGTACACACATTTCAGCCGACCACTCCCTTGGCCCAACCCCTTCGCCTGACGCCAAGCTCAACCGCGGCATTGCCCCAGTCTTCCCCATGGTTGTGCATCCCCTTGGACCCGAGTCCGGCTCTCTCGAGACCCTGCTCTTCGGTCAAAAGCGTAAGTACACCGAAAATAACAGGAACGCCGGTGTCCAGCTGGACACGCATCAACCCGTGGGTGACCGCATCGGCGATGTACTCAAAATGCATGGTTTCTCCCTTAATGAGAACTCCGATCGCAATGATAGCATCGTATGGCTTCGAAGTAGCGGTCGAAGTTGTCGTCGACGTCCTGCTAAGGTCCCCCGTAGAAGAGGTGAGCAAGTCTGTCGCGCTGATGCCTTCGCCAGAGGACCCCGCGTTGGCAGCCTGTAATTGCGAGGCCGAGTAGATCCTGCGGCGAGAAGAAGTTAGAGGTAACTCTTCGATTGGTGTCCATCATTATTGTTATAGCGCCTCTAGAGCAACGCTTCGGATCGTTGGTGAACGTTAGGGAGAGAATATTTACCGCTGGACAGTGTACGGTAGTTCGTAGCTTCCTGGGACAGTGTGGACTTCAATGTGATCCTCTGCCACCCCCGCAGCTTCCAGAGTCTTTTTAGCCCCGTCTATAAGGGGGCCAATGATCCCCATATTCCATCTCGCATGAACAATGGCAACCCGTAGCCCAGACCCTAATATTTGATTAGCAGGCCAGCGGCGACGATGGAGGGGTAGCGATCTCACCGTCGTAGGTCTGGTGAGCTCCGGGCCCTTTGAGGGATGACATGGCTATAAAAAACCTTTAAAAATAAGACTGGCTAGATAGCAAATATCGGGGAGTAAAATGGGGTGTTAATGGGTTGATTCCTGACGCAGCACCCAGGCTATGGTTAGAGAGTCTTCCCGGCTCTGCGCTTGGACTTTGGGATCCTGAGTCAAGTACGTCGTCCTTGACAATTGTGGGGGCCTAAGTAACAAAGATTGGATTCTGACCCCGCTGGTGCGCAGAAAGCTGCCGGGTATCGGTACCTGGTGGTCCGGACCGTGGAAAACCAACCAAGTAGTAATAATGTTCCGGGTCTTTTAGTTCTGAAACGGGCTTCATGAGTAGTGGTTTTTTATTATATTTTGCTTTTATTGACATTCGTTACCATTATTGAATTTGGCTAACTATATGAGAACAAAGGGACAGCGCAGACCATTAAGAAGTATCTGAAGACATAAGACGCTGATCGGACTCAGACTCAACCTCTCTTACAAGACGTAAAAACAGGCATTTCGAATCAAATTCGAACAGGCAATAACACAGCCGAATCCTTGTATCCTCCATCCCGCTAACTCTATAAGTTTTTTCTTTTTGCTACGTTGCACTGGCTTACTCAACGGTAACGGATTTTGCAAGGTTTCGAGGGAAATCAACGTTTAGTCCCTCTCCCACAGCAAGCCAGTAGGAAATCAACTGGAGTGGAATGACGTTGAGAAGCCCTTGGAGGCAATCAACGGTCTTCGGTACCTCAATCTTCTCGGTTTGGGCCGAGGAGAATTCAGGGTCATCATTGTTGCATATCACAATTGGGCGACCGCTGCGAGCAATAACTTGCTGGTAGGCATTTAGCGATTTGGTAAAGAGGCCATCCCGGGTCAAAATCATAATAATGGGGAGGTTCTCGTCAACGAGAGCAAGGACACCATGTTTCAGCTCACCAGACATGACGGCCTCGCAATGCAGATATGAAATTTCCTTGATCTTGAGCGCACCTATTTGTTTGGTTTAGCATTGCAAGTCCACAAGCTGCCAACCGGGGATTAATTACTAACCTTCCAAAGCGGTGGGAAACTGGCCGCCTCTTCCCAACAGAAGCAAACTCTTCTGGTTCTTGAAAAAGCGTTCGCACATTTGCTTTATAGGCTCATTTAGTTTCAGTATCTCCTTAAATTGTTCAGAAACTTTAGAAAGGCCTTCCATAATCTCCTCCCGTCTCTTCTGTTTCGAAGCCCGATCCTCGCTGAGAGAAAGAGCGAACATGACCATAGCAACGAACTGGGATGTGTAAGCTTTGGTCGAAGCCACTCCGATTTCGGGCCCAGCGTTGATGTGAACACCACAATGAGTGAGAAGAGAAATAGAAGATCCAACGACATTGACAATACCAACAGTCAAGGCCCCGCGTTCAAGGCAATAACGGAGAGCCATTAGAGAATCAGCGGTTTCACCAGATTGAGAAACGAACACACATGTATCGTCACGGAAGACAGGTGCCTGTCTGTCTAAGAAGTCGGACGCAAGCTCGACGGCAATCGGGATTTCGGTGAGCTCTTCGAAGACCCCCCGAACTGCCATGCAAGAGTGGTAACTGGTACCGCAAGCAATGAATATGATCCTCCTGCAACGACGAATGGTCGAGATGTACTGTCGAAGCCCCCCCAATGTAACTTGCTTGTTGGCAACGTCCAGGCGACCTCTCATTGTGTTTACCACAGACTCGGGCTGTTCGAAAATTTCCTTCTGCATGAAGTGATCGAATTTTCCTTTCATAATTTCTTGCAATTCAAGCTCAATGGTTTGGATAGCACGGACGTTAGATGTTCCATCATCCTTTGTCAAGCGGTGAATGTTGAGTTGTCCTTCGTGGATATGGGCGATGTCATCGTCCTCAAGATACAGGACTTTCTTAGTGTGTTCGATAATTGCCGACGGATCAGATGACAAGAAGAACTCGGCTGGCTGGGGAATTCCATCGTCGGACAGGAACGCACGAGACTGGGACCGATGGAGAAGAGACTTATCAGGAGGGGCGAGGAGACCCGTTGCAGAGTTCTTGATGGCGGCATTCTGGGAAGCCTGCTCAGCAGGAAGAGCAACGTCCTCGGAATATTCCACATCCACGAAGTCCACCTTCATCTTCCTCGAAGTCTTCACGCCAATCACAAGAGGAGAACCCTTACGAGCGGCAATCACTTCATGAGGGTAATGCACAGACTTGATCAAAAGACCAAAGGCGCCTGCAAGTTCTTTCACAACAGCCTTGGCCAACACCGTGAAGTCAATGTCCGGTTGCTGGTCGTACAAATACTTTGTAAGCTTGGCAATGCATTCAGTGTCAGTCTCCGTCTCGAATCGGAAACCCTTGCTTTCCAACAGAGCCTTAAGCTCCTTGTAGTTTGTGATGATGCCATTGTGGACTACAGAGAATTCCCACTTGGCATCGGATCTATAGCGACGCATCCGTGTCAGTTATACGGTCCTTGAGCTACCAGGCAGGCAGACCTTCGATGCGAGGGAGAAAAAACAAAACAGGCAATCCACAAAGGCAAAGGCTATTAGGTCTAAAGCGGAGAAAGCGCGTACCTGTGTGGGTGACAGTTCAGACGTGAGGGCGTTCCGTGGGTAGCCCAGCGTGTGTGAGAGATGCCGGCATGAGATTCAAAAGATTTGGTGAGGTCGGGTTTGGATTCTTCAATGAGCTGTTTCAACTTGGCAACTTTCCCGACTTCTTTAAAAGCACAGACTTCGTTCTTCTTGTCGCCATCTACTGCAAGACCTGCAGAATCATACCCTCGGTATTCAAGCCGAGAGAGACCTAGTGAGATATGAATTAAGTGAGTTAAATGATGACCACCAGAACGAGTTACGGGGATGGAGGAAGGACTAGGGCACGTTGGATCAAGACCTAGGTTGAATAGTTAATGGATGGTTACATACCATTGAGCAGAGTGTCGAGGATAAACTTGCGGTCCCTCTCAACGAGGTAGTTGATGTAGCCGAAAATACCACTGGATCATGTTAGGTTTGTCAATTCTCAGACGATCGATGGGATGATCCAGGGAAACAAACCACATGGCTGATGAATTTCGTGTCAAAGAGAAATAAAAGAAGGTATATGGACGTTTGTTTTTTGGAATGTTAGAAGGCGTAGGGAGGCAGGATCAAGAAATGCGGTCTGGTGAAGAGCTGCAACACAGAAACGGCCGATTATTAGGGAGGGGGGCCAGCTAGCGGGGATTGCAGCAGGTTCCCAAACAGAGGCGGAATCAACTTGAAGTCGATTCGATTTAACGAGAGGGGAGGTTTTTTACGAAGGTATGAGGGAAGAGAACGAAGATGAAGCCGTGAAAGTGGAGGAAATGGAGCAAGAAGGATGGGCAGATTGAAAATAACAAAGGGCTGAGGAAGGAGGGGGAGGAGCTGTTGTTATGAAGGTTTTATGTTGTGAGATCGGCCCACCTTGGCTTCCAAACCAGGGAAACTGCTCTGGACACCGTCTTTCATCCCCGACTAGTGGCCAATAAACCGCCTCTGCGCCTCACACACCGAACGGCAATGTCTCACTTCTTCACCCAAGGTTTGGTTCAGGACAGCAGGGCAGCAAAAGGAAAAGTAAGAATAATAATATTTTCCGAGCTGTTGTTGCCAGAGAATGGACTATTGTTGTTATGGATCAGACTAGTCATCCCCACTTAGGATATTGGAATGAGGATGTCAATGGTTATTATTAGCTCTTGAGTCGTCGCAATTAATGAATGGGAAATCCGCCTCAGGTGGCATCTGCGGCGTCCCTCAGCTTCGGGGCTTGGGAGGCTATGGATATCCGTAGGTTTCTAAGAATAACCCCCGATTTTATACTTCCCCACTCGCTTCAGGTTTGCTTTCTCGGTCATTCCTCTAGCCCCCTTTTTTTATTATTGATGAGAATGGACTGGGTTCCTCGGTTTGTTCCTGGAAAACACCCGCATTCTTGCTCGCACAGAAATACATACCGAGCAATAGCAAGACTGGTTTGGAGTGTGCGGACACGCCACCGACCTGGAAGATTGCTGCAATATTGCTACACTTGTTCGTTCAGCTCA